TAAGCAGTCACCTTCCTGCTGCCCATGTAGGCAGGGAAGTTCAACCATCACCTCAAAGGATCCCCCAAACCTTCCATGAACAGAAGCAGGGACAGCCTCTTCAGCAGAACATCCCATGCCAGTCCCATCCTGTCCTCCCTCCCCTCATTCCCATGTGGTCATCACTCCTCTTTTTAGGGGAAAACTTTCTGCTTTGATTTTCCAACTACATTGTTCAGCTCTTCTCTGCTGGGAAGAGGAGTATCCCAGTGTTTATACCTGCCTATGGACAACAAAGGGAAGCTGGTCATCAGAGTGGCCCATGAAGGGAAGGCAGACAGAATCTGAAGAGTCACCAAGGTTGGAGGAGACCTCTAAGATCACCAAGTCCAGCCATTAACCTGTCATTGCTGTAACCCCTAAACCCTAAACCATATCTTCCATCACCACATCCATACACTTCTTAAACACCTCCAGGGCTGGTGATTCCACTACCTCCCTGGGCAAACCTATTCCAATGCCTGATGAAAGGGAGCTGAATTTGCCCCTCATCCAAGCCATGTACGAGAGTCCCAGCTATAGAACAGTCCTCTTGCCTTGTTGGCACATCAGACCTCAGGGACCAGCACTGAGAGTAAGAGGATCCTACCATGGTAAACCTTTCATCTGTCTCTTCAACTAAGTGGGCAAGTGCTGCCTGTCTCTTAGCTGCATCTCCTCTATCTGGCTGGAGCAGCACAAGGAGCTCCTTTGCTCTCTAAGTGCCTCTTCATCACATCTACAGGCTGCCCATGTGGGCAACACCTGGGCTGGAAGCCTCTCTGGCACACTGAGCTTTGTCTCAGCCTGAAGCTCCACTTTGTGGACCATCAGAGAAGTCAAAAGAAGTTCCTTGTATGTGGATGGAGCTCAGATGAACCAGTACAGTGTCTCACACATCAGCTCCAGCATGCAACTTCTTATTTCAGCCTGCTGTGCCAGAAGCAGGGTGGGAATGGGCTCCAAATTGCTTTCCTGGGTGCCCAGTGAGCACTGTCTGCAGCAGCCTTGCAAATCCCTATCCTTCATTAAAATTACTGTCTCCAGGTCCAATTCTCAGCTTAGAGCTGGTGACAAGAGCTTCTCAGCATATGACACTTCAAAGCGAGCTGCAAAACAAGGATGCAGCTGGGAGCAGTTTTGGGGTTGTTTGTTAGCTCTGATCTCACAGCAGTGCAGCCGTGGGGGAGGTTATCTCATTTAGCATCACATGGCTGAAGCTAGGCTGAGCTGGTCTGAGTTAGACTACCACATCTCCTGGCAGGCTAAGGGTAAGGCCTGGTCCAGGAAGGGAATCATTGACTCACAGAATGGTTTGGGTTGGGAAGGATCTTAAACACCATCTTGTCCTACCCCCTGCCATGAGCAGGGGCACCTTCCACTAGCCCAGGCTGCTCCAAGCCCAATGCAACACAGCCTGGAACACTTCCAGGGATGAGGAACCCACAGCTTCTCTGGGCAACCTGTGCCAGTGCCTCAGCACCTCACAATATCCCAGCTAACCCTGCCCTCTGCCAATTTGAAGCCATTCTTCCTTATCCTATCCATGTCTTCAATAACAGGCAATATCTTTTCCCATCCTTGTTCTTCCCTACCAGTTCAAGGACAAGGACATGGGATGATTCGCAACTGTGGTTTAGCAGCTACCCCTCTGCCAATTTGAAGCCATTCTTCCTTATCCTATCCATGTCTTCAATAACAGGCAATATCTTTTCCCATCCTTGTTCTTCCCTACCAGTTCAAGGACAAGGACATGGGATGATTCGCAACTGTGGTTTAGCTTCTACAATCACAGAACATAGCATGAGATTTTGGGCTACAATGTCACAGCCCTGAGGGTACTAACATGCCATGAGGAGCTTCACTTCTACACAGGAGTCAGAAGCTTTCAGCTGCTGCTTGGAGGGCGGTGGAGAAGTGTCTTAAAAGTCTCCCAAGTCTGTATCTGGCCGTGGATCCTGCTGACCCTGCCCCAGTCTGGCCCCAGCCCTGCCTTGTCACTGTGATCATAGAATCACAGAATCATCAAGGTTGGAGGAGACCTCCAAGATCATCCAGTCCAACCTGTCACTGCTGTCACCCCTAAACCCTAAACCCTATCCTCCAGCACCAGATCCAGACACCTCTGAAACACCTCCAGGGATGGTGACTCCACCACCTCCCTGGGAAATATCCCAGTGCCTGAACACCCTGACAGGGAAAACATTTCTCCTAATATCTAATCTGACTCTCCCCTGTCTCAGCTCAAGGCCATTCCCTCTAGTTCACTCCGTGCAGCCATGGCAGGAGAGACATCCTCCATCTCCCTCCAACCCCTGTCAGGGAGTTCTAGTCATCATGATGCTCAGTCACTGCTGGGTTGCATCTGACCTACTCACTAGCACTGAACATGACTTGATCATCTGATCAATGTGTCAGTTTGCCCTGGAACTGGCCAACCCTCGAGCATCCCCAAGCCACATTTGGACACCACAGAAGCTACTCACCCAGAGTCTGGCCAGCCAGGACCCTGCCGTTCTCGCCCAGCACGGCGGCACGCGCATGCCTCTCATTGGAGTACTGTACGAAGGCATAGCCCTTGTGCACAGAGCAGCCCACCACCCGCCCGTACTTGGAGAAGATGGTCTCCACATCGGACTTCTTGACCACAGCTGTGTTGAGATTGCCAATGAAGACTCTGGAGTTGATGGATTTGGGGTCGTTCTTGTTCGTGATGTTGCTCGTCTGCACTTTCAATGACATCTTGAAGACCTGAAGGAACAGATTTGAAGTCAGGAGGGGTGTGAGGGAATTCCCAGGGTTAGGAAAGAGAAGGGGGGATGAATCTCCCAATGAACCTGGACAATCAGCTCCTCAGCTGATTCCTGAGAGAATCAGCTCCTCAACTTCAACTAGTCACAGCCTGGGGGGATCCCATCTCCAGGAGCCCCTGGAGTTTGGAGGTGACTGCCACAGCCTGTGCTAACCTCTTGCTGGAAACCTACTGATCAGGCAGACACCCTACATGGACTTGTGCAGGCCCAGGAGTTGGACTTGATGATCCTTGTTGGTCTCGTCCAACTCAGGATATTCTGTGATTCTAAGGTTACGTTCAGAGGAGAAAATGAGATTTAAATAAATTTTACATGGTTTCATATCATGTTAAGGGGTTAGAATGGACCTTAGGGATCATTTAGTTCCAACCCCTGCCCTGGGCAGGGACACCTCCCACCAGAGCAGGTTGCTCAAGGCTTTAGCCAACCTGACTGTGAACACTGCCAGGGCTGGGGCAGGCACAGTCTCCCTGGGCAGCCTGGGCCACTGTCTCACCACCCTCACAGGAAAACTTCTGCATGTGCTCCTGCCTGGTACCTGCACTCCACTGCCTCTGCATGTACACGCTGGGCCTGGAGCTGGATTTTGTGCTAACAGGAGGTGTCACTGTTAGCCTAGAAATCACAGAGACATCAGCCAGATCAGCTGGGAGCCACTCCAACCTGCTTCCCACGGCTGCAAGGCACGATCCTCCAAGTTTCTTGCTTCAGGTACCTCATGGGCAGCCACGGAGAACAGGCTTCACCTCTGAGGGCTGAGGACAAGGGGCAGGATTGGAAGCTGTGTGAAATTAAAGACAGTCTGGCTGCTATCAGGTTGTCTGCTCTTACTTCTGCAGCATAAACTAGAGCTGTCCAAAGAGATCAGCTTGATTTTCATCTTCCAGACCCAGAGGGATGCTTTTGGATCACTACTGTGCTGCTTATATAGGGTGTGGGATTTAGCTGTGAACTATGGAAGGTGTTCTATGATGCACATTGAGGCTCTTCCCCAGCCCCTTCCAGCAGCACCCACAGGTTCTCCTTTTACCAAGGGCAATACCACCAGGGTGTCCACAACTTCTGGAGGTCACTGAGCCTGGCACAGGGGATGCAGTGCTACCACAGGGCCATGGAGTCCCCTCCCTCGTGGTCCCCAGTGTCTCTCTTGCCAGTGGGCATTGCTACGGGTCTGGCTGGCTTTGGGGTTTTGGCTCTCTGGGGCTCAAGGCTCAGGTTTGTGCATTGTGGCCTGAGGTGGGGACAGTGGCAGCTGCCTGACTGCATGTGTGCAGCTCCTGTGGTCAGCCTGGTCCCCAAAGGCTGGCAGCTCTGCTTGCCCACAGCCCAGCCTGCCACAGGCACTGCCACCAGCACTGTGGGATGCTCCAGCTTTGCCTAGCCCTGAACCACAGAGTTATCTTCCCTACAGTCCTCAGCAGGCAGGCAGAGCCTGAGAAAGAGCCACATCTCCTAGGGTGCTTTTGAGGGTTGCACCCAAGACTTCTCAAAAGCCCCAGTCCTTCTCCTTCCTTGTCCTCTCCTGCACAGAGGTTCCGCACAGGATTTCTATCTCCTCCTAAACCTGCTTGAGGGGAGAACTTCATTACACCTCTCTCAGCCGTTTGCCAGGGGAGCTCCATCTTGGCTCCTGAGGTAATAAGAAAGGAATCCTGAGTACACTCTTCAGAGGTACCAGCCCCTTGGGATGCTCAGTAGGGATTGCTCCTGCCCACAGTCACATTTTGACCCCCACATTTGTAGGGTCCTGTACCCACACAGACAAGCATCAGGGCTCATCACGACTGGCTCTGCATCCCAGGATTTGAAACCTCAGGTTGGAGGGAAGGAGCTGAGAGGAGACTCACTCATCATAGGATCACAGAATTTTAGGAGTTGGAATGG